CCTAACGTTTAAACCTTGCCAGGTAATTGTGTTAAGAAAGTCATGCGGATTGAGAAACTTGAATATGCAGACTGAGAACGGTATAAGGCAAATGAGAACACTAAATAATTTACTGCATACGTAGCACACGATATGCATTCAAGATAATATCCCGAAGTTATTACACCATGGGTGTTTTGGGAAGATAATGGCATCTTCAACGCTTTCAATAACAAAGTGATTTTAGTCAGATAACCGCTAGAATTATGGGAATACGAATTGGCTGCTTTGATCTTGTATGTAACTCCTCATCATCGATTTTTGTTGATTTAATTGTTTGTATTTCGTCTTCTCTACTTTGATCAAGCAGGCAGTCATGTTTCACTTCTCTACTTCATTTGAGACCACAATGTGTTTGGCAACTAAAAAATCTGGTTGAACTGATTTGGAAGATAGTATTGAACCATAGGAACTTATTATTTTCGATAAACGTTCTTTGTTGGGCCTAAACATACACATGCTTCATACGTGCTCTTAAATCTGTTTGGATCTTCCAGACTGTAACTTGACGATTCAGTCAGGACGATGTGGTTGAATATTACATGTAATCATCATGTCTACCTTAATTCTACTAGTCTAATATACGATTTCGCATAAGAAATATTTTTTGAAACATAGTAACAATATTGTAGATTATCTGAGAGTGTTTTTGCAAATATCTGTCTGTTAACCTCTGTTGTTTGTAGAAATTTCAATGATTATACTTTCTCTTCATCTATCACCTCATTATATTTAATTATTCAAATAATACGATATTCTCTATTGTGTCGTGGGCGTGATATGAAACTTTGTTGAAATAATGAATACCGCTTTCTAATTATGTGTTTATGTGACTGACAGTCATCTACTCACACAGAACAGAGATGAATGGAAGTCTCATTTTACAAAACATTCGTGCTTTTGTGAAAAGCAAGTAAATTGAAAACAAATATTTTGGCAGTCAATTCACGTTTAGTCTTGCTTCAGCTATGAATAAACACTGTAACCATTTACTATCTAAACTGAGTTTTATGGTCGTTGTCTCTTAGAATCATCAATATATGCAACCATATTCGCAGTATGGTGTTGTTAGGCTATCGATGTAAATCATGGGTCGATGAATATTAGCCTATCATTGGAAACGCCGAACACTGGACCATAATCTAACATCTATCGATTCTGATATCTTTGAAAGACTTATCGATCCCCACAACCCTACCTTGGTGATTATCATGTGCTCACTGTTAACTAGCTCTTTCTGTGCATTCTCGGAGTTCTTGTGAGCAACTTTGACCAGTCGAGCTATTCCTTTCGGGCAGAGACAGTTATCTATCTCAGACATTGGTGAGTGGTTACACATCCTCGTGGATTTGTTGAAATTAGTCACCGACACTATTGAATGCCAAATAAGTGGTCTAGAGTTTAAGCCTTGGCGCGCTAGACAAAAGATCCTGTGTTTGAATTCCGCGTGCGGGATTGTGGATGCGCACCACCGAAAAGTTTCTCACTAAGACGAAACAGTTGTTCAGTACCTACAGGTTTCCAACAATAGTCTAATATTCATCAAATAATATTCTCAATTGAAATAAAGTTCAAATGTTAGTGCCTTTTTGACATCCAATGGAATCAGTTTGTGCCACTTTGATCTTAACCAATCAAGTCAAATTAATGCGTCATTGACAGCCCATTAACAGATTATTACACGCCGACGACGAACGCAACGCAGCAAGCTACGCCGCTGAAGGAAACTTCTGCACTCTATACCTTCGACGGACAAATTCAGCGAAGCCAGCGCAATATCCGATCCGATGCAATCAGCAAAGCCTGTGCATCATGGTATGGACATGCTCAAGTCGTATTATCTTATCGATACTTTGTTCTCATGTCAACCATTCTCATTGATCCATTCGTCGGTTTGTTCAATTACGATTCAAAATATCATTATATGCTTATTATTACATTATTATCAATACCATGACCGAATGTGGAATTATTAATCTTGCTGTCACTAAATTGACATTTTCGCAATCATATCACTCACCGAACAAATTATCATTTTATGAAAATTACACTCCATTTTGTGAGAATTCATTGTGATATTTTTACTATTCAAAAACGTGAAATTTTCCTGCTCTAAGTGAGTTCGTTTCAATTTTTCATGTCATTTTCATCTAATATTGCATTTATTCACTTAGTCGAGGTCATTATGTTATGTTATCACAACATACATTTTTCATTTCGAAAACGCCTACTATTATGTCTGTGGATGCCTCTAACTAGCTGATTAGTAACCATTACGTTCATTTTATCTATTCTTACGCGTGCATATCTGCATGCCGCATCATTTATCAACCAAAAACGCTATTCGAGTACTGCAACTACTATTCTATACCCATCGCACGGTATATCAGAACAAAGAGTTTAGAGCTAGTCTCTCAAAGATACACTCTTGTTTGTGACATCTTAGTCAGTCTGATACGTCGCAATCGCTAACCATATGTATTGGTATTTTTGTCATGCCTTGGTACGGTTTTGTAACAAACGAGATCGAGCGCATCTCCCTCAAACCACACAAACCACTCTAGGCTTCATGACCAAAAAGGAATACGACTCTACGCACCTCGTCTACTCAGTCACTTTTCTGTTCCTCTGGTCATTCTACTAATACATATTCAACGATAACTCGGTGCATCTGTCATAACGCAGACGACAACGTTCACTGACTTCAAATTTTATGATTATTATCAATTGCAGTGCAGCAACGAATATCACCCGTCGATGCAGATATCATTTCACGACTTGCCTATTATCATCCTACGAACGGGAACTACGCATTTAAATTCGAATTCACTCATCACTAGTCGATGCTACGTATTCTAATGCGGCTCAACAGAACATATATTTAACGTATTTCACTATTTCGTCAGCATGACAGACCAATTTCTGTCATATTCTACTGTACTCATTTCGCTGTTTTTTTCGCTGTCATACCCACAAACAATTTATACAAACGTGTTATTTTATCGTTCAGACAGTCATAGCATTAGAACATGTTAAATTTTTGTACGCTCAATAATTTGCTCATATTCGCATGCTAACATTTCCATTTTTGTTCGCGCCTTTTGGATATTCATGTATTCTTTTGCATAAGTATGAAAGTTTCATATAATACACTCACCCCTCACGTGACACTACGTTATCGAGCGTTGTACAATTTTTTTTCGCTACTTATTGTTAACGTTAACTTCATATCACTTCAGTGTTATTTTCGAAAACAGACATTTTTTAAATGTGCTATTTTCTACGAGGGCGCTATTTAGTGTCTGTTATTATGCCAAGCCCATATACCTTATTCTAGCTTCCGGACATCCCATTTTATTCATTCTGCTCGAGCCATACTTTGACCTTGTTATTTATTCGCTTATCAATCTAGACTGTTTTTATATGAGCGTATATGTGTGTACCCTTCTTATCCTATTAATCACATGTCTGTAGCTTTATTTTGTCTGACTATAAATATTGAGTAACGCTTGACTAAAATGGGAGTTGGCTTCCCCGCCATCTTCCCTGCTTGTCATTTTGCTCTGTTCTATTACATTCACTTTACATACAAAATATATGCATTCAAAATCCCATTCTCGTTATTTGACTTATCTAAATTCCGTTATTGACGAACGTGATTTAAGTCGACGATGATATACGAGAATTGACGATAACAAACAAAAGGAGTCGAGATCCAAGGGCCACAAAAAAGTGTTTGTTTGTGAACTCATGAGCATATATTTTGAACTAAAAATAAACCAATCACTTATTTTAGAGTATTGCCAATCATATTTTAAAGCATTTTCATCAAATGGAGGTCAGGAATTTCAACCAATGGTGGATACATATCTGCCTATGTCCTCAATAGCTACAAAGAAATTGGATAATAATGTGTTCATCTACCGAAATGATTGGTTAACAATGAAGAGATGATTTTATGAAATTAGATCTTCGCAATGGTTACTTTGAATCATAGAAAATCAAAAAGAAACAAACATACACCTGAAAAATCTATATAAACCTAACAAATTCTGGTAAGGTTCTTATACTATTTTGAACGGAAAGATGAGGTGAGTGTTGACTGAACACACGAAGTTATTGTATGTACTATATGAATGTCGGTCTGATTCAACGAGATAACATTGTTTTGTTCATATCAACCATTTTAGATATACTTCTCTATCTAGTCTGTTGATACCGGTTTGTTTGGTCGTCATCGTGCTTTCCGAATTCTTCGGCTGTCAGGATATCTGCGAAAATCCTGGATTAACGACATATGAAAATGTTATTTCGGAAAACTTTAAACATAAATATGTAAGTATACAGTTAGATTCTAATGCACATACACAGTCTCATCATTATTACTACTCACGAACAATACGTCACAATCAGCCGTATCCAGTTATTGGTGACAGTTTTAAAAAAATTAGTACTGATCAGGTGAGTTGACTACATTTTGTAACGGAACTACTAATTCTTATGTTCGCATCTTTTAAGGATGTTAGACCGAAATTTTCGTTTAAATATTATGATATTAACGTCACTAAATTTGAGATTCAGCGTGGTGGTAAGATAAATTTTTCTTTTTCACTTAAAATTGTACTTGAGTTTTGTTAATCGCAATTCATTCCATGAATCAAGTTCGCTCGAATTTCTTCAATGAATCAGTTTTATGCTTTTTCTGACTTTCAAAACTTTTGATAGATTCCTTTTCTTCTTGTTGAACTTATCAAAAGTTCCATGTCTTACAGTAAACTAATTACAGTTCATGAAATTCATTTTTGTCTCCAGTTCATTTCAAACTGTTTCATTCATCCATTATAGAATTTCAATTAAATTGTATGTTTTCATTAAATATAGGCATAATAAAAATATTCGGAGAAAAAGACATCGGAGCGATATATAATACTGTTTACGGCGAATTTTTTCCTGAATATGAGATGGTAGACAACAGTGAGTTTTTCTATTATCCCATAATGTTTTCTTTTGTTTCTTCTCACACACTTGTTGTGCACAAATGGTTCAGTATTTAGCTTGATTATTACACGAAAGCTGACCATTTCACAGTGATAATATTGTTTTTGTGATTTGGTACCAGAACGTGTGTTCACAGCACGTATTCATTACTGTCAAGTTAAAATATCAAATAAACACAAGGATTCACTACAAAATAAACACAAATCGATTCAGTAGAAATTATAAACCAAGCGGTGTGGTTGCTGAGTGAAAATGAGCTGTTATCCAGTCTATTTAAACAACAATGCGAAATATGTCTCACCGACGGGATACATCTTTCTAGATTAAATGAATCAAATTGATCGCATGTACAACGCTAACCAATGTTGTTCAACAGGTCAGTTTGAGTCATTAACTTTATGAACTGTCAAATTATACTTGACGTCTTCCAACCCTTTTCTGACACTTAGTTGATTCATGAAAGTTAAATATCTCCTAGTCGCTATCTGTGGACCATTGGATGTTTAACACTTTTTACATTATCCTGTTTATAAAATAATGACATTAAAACCCACGCCCTTCCATACACAATCAATCAACAAACGATGATTGTTCATTTAAATGTACCAGTTCACTTAAATCTCGGGAGGAAAGAAGGAAGGTGATAACTCGTCTGCCAATAAATTTTTTGTTAGAATGTATATTTATTAAAAGAGGTAGATATTCATTATGCAGATATACAAATATCTTTTCGGTTTTCATTTTTTTCAGATGATTTCATTGCTGTCAAATGGCATCTTCATATGTTTATCGGAGGTACATATAAGTGAACATTGAATGATCATTTGATATCATATGAAATCTTAACACTTAAAACTACTCATTGTGTTTGCTCACACCTGCCTGTTCAGTTTGTGTAATTCAATTTTTCCCAATGACTGAAAGAAGTAGGAATACATAAGGCTTTTGCAAAATGAGGGTGGACTTGTACATGGAATCCATTGATCAATTAATCACAATGATTAGGACTCGAAGAACAGTTAACACAGACTGAAAGAGACTAAACTTGACGAGTAATAAATTGATGAATGAAGCTACAATCGCATCTCACATGTGGAAACACTGGTGCATAGATTCATCATCGTTGACTGGCTTCAATGGAACTTGATGTGAAGTCTGTTTATTGTAACAAATAAATTGTGTTATATGTTTGTCTCAAAGCCATTTTCTGCACGGACCACATTCGTCGACACAGTCATTCCTAAATATTGCCCGATAAAATCAGTAAATCCTTAGGACAATATGTCTGAAACTATTCACTTCACATCTTCAACAAATAAATCTGTGTTGTTTGTAAACGCCATGGTCGGAGTCAGTCGACTGATCGATTTGCCAGTGTGGTTAATGAGTAATTAAATTCTCAAGTTCCATTTGTGAGCAAACACTCCACAACACAAGTCATGTGTTCTTAGTGTCGATTGATTTGGGAGTAATGATAGAAAATATTGCGCAGAATTGTATACTTCTCGGGTTCCGAAGACTAAACAGCTGACATTCATTTTGAATAAGTTGTGTTCGTATGTTTTCCATGAGGTCCACTTGATATTCTTCATAACGAATTCAACGAAGGAAAACATTTGAGATAACACGGTATATGTTTGCTTAAATTGGATATTTTTTGTAAGTAGGCATATACACTGTCAGACCTAACAGTAACAAGCTCATCATCATTCCCTAAGAATTCTAAATATCAATAGTCTTTTGTTTGCAGGTATTATAGCCAAGATAACTAATGTGATACATTCTAATGGGAAGATATCCCTCTATTATGAGAACGTAAGTTGTACAATTGAATGGAAATAAAATTTTGTTTCAAGTACTATAGATTAACCCACTCTTTCTTGCGTATCTATAATGTCAAATGTATCAAGATACATTGAATACGACAGAAAGAGATCAACTTTTGTAATGTGCAAACGGACTATGTGACACTATTATTAATCATCTAATGACACACACTTTAATGTGCCACTTGAGAAAAACAGTGAATAATCAGAAGTGAAGAGTCATCAAAAGAAACGATGACGTCTCTTCGCGACAGATAGGAATAAACAGTGTACTGTAGAGTACAGCACGGAAACAGTCATATTATGACTAGATTTATTCCGTCTTCTGGAGATAAGCTGTTCGGACAGGACATTGCAGAATATTCTGAGGGATTTAGTGTTTAAACTGTTGATCGTTTAACAGTGTGTATATTCTTGAATGCCAGTGTTTGATACTTCCAATACTTCTTTTCAGATCCCCATGGGACACGAGGGCGTTCTACCGAACAATAAATTTGCAGGTTTAATTCAGTGTGGAAAAAAGTCCGAAGGTAACAATTACTGCTGGTATTTTGATGTAGAGTAACCATGTCGACAGTTTTCTGTTAACGTAATATTACATTCCATTCGTTCGCGGTTATCTGCATGTCAACATAGTAAACTGCTGTTTTCGCTCACAGTGATCATTTATAACTGTATTATAGTCTACGAAGATTGGTTGATTTGAATGTAAGACAAATCGATTGAAGTGCAATTAAAGTGTTGAGGATAATCGTGAGGGATAAAGTCGAAACACTTTTCGTAAAATCACCGACCGAAAATTACAGTATACTGGATATTCAACGTCAATTATATGTTGACAATTCTTGAATGGAATTTTTGTAGTTACACCTGATAAAGAATCTTAGTGAAACCCAATAATGAAAATGTCTAATGCCCTTTGAACAAGGGAACAATGTATTGAAATCAAAGTACATGTGTATTCAATTCAACAACGGTCATCTTTATCACTGTAACAAATTAGATTTGAGTTGTTGTGACGAACTTGTAATGGTTCTATTTCAGTCTTTTGTGATAAATTACACAGACAATGAATTTCGTGATCCACATTTTCTGACGTTTTCTTAACCCAATATGCCGAGTGATAGAATCATGATGTGTGAATATCATTACAATAAAATTGTGGATAGCTATTGTAGAATGCTTTCACATACATTTAACGACGGACTGATCCAGACAGGGATATATGAACGACAATATTTGACAGATCATATATCCACTCATTCATTCACTTGCTCAATCACTCGACCATTCACTCACAGAACAAACAGTCCCACTTGTAGTCCTCAGTCATATCACTACTCAAACAGAAACAAAAGAGTGATGCTTGTAACTGATAATTGTTTTATATAATGCTCAATCTTCATGCCATACTGAAGTGATCATGTGTTGGCTTAAGATCAAGCTGAGTTTCAAGATAAGCGTTTGGTGAAAGCGATTCGGTGGGATACAATGATTTGTCGTTATATGTGAGACAATGCACTAGATATTTGGTCAAACGGTATACATTGATCGGTTGAAATATGTTACTTGGTCTTTAACAGTAAATCTCAATGTTGACTATGTGTAATTTGAAATGTCGAAAGAATTGTACCGAGTTGAACATGTTTCTTGAAGATGTTGCACTGAGAATGTTTTAAAATGAATCAGAAATTCAATATTATCATTTTTCATTTACTAGTTAAACACTGGCCGCTTTCCATATCAGTAATGATGTAGAGCATGTTTTGTGAGGATTTTGTATGAAAAACACTCTATCTGTAATCAGAAATGTTTAAGTCTTAATTTTACGGTACATGAAGTGATGAAACGAATCGTTATTTAATTCACGGGAGATCAAAAATTGAAGTGTTTTTTTAAAATGTATTTCAGATGTGAGAAAAGTTGAAATAAACACTCCTCGACAATGGATAGCAAGTGACACGTTAGTGGAGTTTGAACCTATCGAGAGTATGTTAAACCTTATTTAATCAGCATCGAATATTTCCGCACTTGAATATATCACTTCTGTTTCATCATAATATAAATTCCAAGTGCAGTTTTATTTAGCCATTTAACGATATCCAGTAGTGTTTCTCTGTTGATGCTTCCCTTGCTATTAATAATTACACGTCGATGTGCTGTTGTATATTCAAAATGATTAATGACTCAATTTGAACAACTACAGAAGTCTTTACTTTCACCAAATTTACAGATGTGAGAGAACATGAAATAACAACCACTGGAGAATGGATAACAAGTGACACGTTAGTGGAGTTTGAACCTATCGAGAGTATGTTAAACCTTATTTAATCAGCATCGAATATTTCCTCACTTGAATATATCACTTCTGTTTCATCATATTATAAATTTCAAGTGTAATTTTATTTAGCCATTTCACGATATCCAGTATTGTTTCTTTGTTGACGCTTCCCTTGCTATTAATAATCACACGTCGATTTGCTGTTGGATATTCAAAATGATTAAGGACTCAACTTGAACTACTACAGAAGTCTTTACTTTCACCAAATTTACAGATGTGAGAGAACCTGAAATAACAACTACTGCAGAATGGATGACAAGTGACACGTCAGTGGAGTCTGAACCTATCGAGAGTATGTTAAACCTTATTTAATCAGCATCGAATATTTCCGCACTTGAATATATCACTTCTGTTTCATCATATTATAAATTTCAAGTGTAATTTTATTTAGCCATTTCACGATATCCAGTATTGTTTCTTTGTTGACGCTTCCCTTGCTATTAATAATCACACGTCGATTTGCTGTTGGATATTCCAAATGATTAAGCACTCAACTTGAACTACTTCAGAAGTGTTTACTTTCACCAAATTTACAGATGTGAGAGAATCTGAAATAACAACTACTGCAGAATTGATGAAAAGTGACACGTTAGTGGAGTTTGAACCTATCGAGAGTATGTTAAACCTTATTTAATCAGCATCGAATATTTCCGCACTTGAATATATCACTTCTGTTTCATCATATTATAAATTCCAAGTGTAATTTTATTTAGCCATTTCACGATATTCAGTATTGTTTCTCTGTTGACGCTTCCCTTGCTATTAATAATTACACGTCGATTTGCTGTTGGATATTCAACATGATCAAGCACTCAACTTGAATTATCACAGACGTCTTTACTTTCAACAAATTTATATGGAAATCACTCTACAAATCCATGGTTGAGATGATTTATTGTTCGAAAACGTTTATCGTCTGTTGGCAGATTGTGTATTATCGAGGAGGTGTTCGTTAGTTTTTCATTCTGTATATACGATATCCAATTTATCTGAGTTATTGAAATCACTGAAACATCACATGTTATTGTGATCATCTTGAAGGTATTCGTTTCATTTCTAAAATCTCTGCTTTGTCATGCTTGTTCGATAAATCGAAGGTGTAGACAAGTCACGCGTTCAAATTGCAATTTATCATAGTCGATTTATATTCACAGTAACAAACGTACAGACGATTTACACAACATAAGACTGTTTCCTTTCTCATGAATATGTAAAGTGAGTGTCCACAGACAGTTCTCAGTTCACCATGTGTCAGACTATTGAAATAACATTTCGACTACAGGAAGAATCACTCGATACATTAGTGTTTGGATCGCCTTCAGTATTTGTCAAACAAAATATTCTTTTCACTAATCCGATGAGTCTGATGTGCTAACTAACGTTAAACAGACTAGAACGTGGCCACATATTTTGAAACCTTCTATCACATAATGGCTTAGTGAAAATATTTTCGTGGAATCCACAATGATGATTTGAAAAACGACGTCACTCGTCCTTTGTCTTTCCATTGAATCAACAAAATTGAAAATCAGTTTTCGGCATCAGAACTGCTGACCTTCATGCACTGATTTCGAAATTGTCAGTGCCAGTGAGCTCACGAATTGATTGTGCACTTCACACATGCAGAAACGGTATACAAGATGTAGATTGATGATAAAACTGATGTCAGTTACACGTTTTGTTATTCACGTATCTTTTGTTTGATACTTGAAATGCCGTCTCGCTAATTTTTTTCACAGTAAGTTGTTCAAAACACGACTCCATTGAAAAATGCCAAAATGCGACAACATCAAGTGTGAAATGTATCTGGTATGCAAAAGCAAATATGTGCATTAACAGAGATGATAATGATGTTAAAGTAAGTAATTGTTAAGATTCATAGATTGTTTACAACATTGCTATATTCCACATTGTACATCCGATTACTCGGAAGAAACGTTTATTACAACGAATACGTTTTCATTTCATAGTAACAACAAACAATGAACAGAAACGTTGTTTAATACAAATGCAAGTAGTCATATTATTGTTTGAGCTCACTGAGCTTTTAGTGACTTCAGAAATCCAGTAATTAAGTGTATATCTATGTGAATTGCCATGAATCACCGATGAAATCGGTTTGAGTGATGAATAGTATTCCGTTGGAAATTGTATATTATGTTTGAATAATTATTGAAAGTTTGTAGACTCTAGTTGTTAAAGCGCAGAACAAAGGAATCACTGAAATTCACACTGAAGAAAAATTTCGCAAAAATACTGCAATAAACTGAACCTTGTTCGGTGAATATTTGATATTTAGTATTAATGCTACTGTTTCGTTTCTCTTTCAGAACACCACTTCAGAAATAAATGGAGACAGTAAACATAATAACACACCTCGTTACTTGTATATCGTGATACCAGTAGTCGTCGTCGTCGCCTTCTGTGTCATATGCATCGGTTGTGCTATTTGGATGTATAAGAGAAAGAAGAGTACTCTATGATTTACAGAAACGTCTTATAGTTTGTTTTTATTATTTTGATCGAGTTGTTTTATTCTGTATTTCATCCGGAAACTTCTTTACATTTTGTTAACCGTTTCAATTATTTGAACAAGTTTTATACCATTTTCTGTTTGTTAACGTATCGACTGAAGTAATTCTGTTGATTAAATAACTGAAATATTTACGTGGATTGTTTTCTCTCAGTTAATAAAAGCTGAATTATATTCTAAGAGTTTTACAGTATTCAGTTTAGAAATGAGCAGTATTCTGTATATGTGGTTATGTGATCGTTGCAATCAATAATGAACCCGTTGTGAATGTTCAGTTTGATGTAGTCTCACCACAGGAAAATATTATTTGATATTTACAACAGTCATTGTTATAAACTGTTCAGTCAAAATAACATACTACTTCAGCGTATACTCACGTAAGACTGAAGAACAGTGTGGATTGAATAAAGTAGTAACAGTCCGACCGTAGCATTGCTAAGATGACAGATTTGAGAGAGAAGAACACTACGATGTTTCTACCAGTTGATGATCACTTCATTATACACTATTTATTTAATAATTATTCTCTCTCACACGTAATTATGAGAAAGGATATTGCAAATATTCATTTGTATTGTTTGGTTGATTCTTCCCGTTGATGTTTAGGACTGCAGTCACACGGTATGGCTCAACATTGCAGAAGTGGTTATTCTGTATAACTTGTCTTTAATCATAGTAATTATATTATTCTATTTAGGATTCGGTCTATTATTGTAATGGTACCGATAAAAAATTAGATCATAATTCCACACACTGTGTAACTTAGCTGAACAAACCACATCTCACTGTCACATTACACGTTCAGCATAACCCAAATGTGACTGATAGACTAGATTGAACACAAGAAATCAATCTATTCCATGGTTGAACATTCAACTATCTAATACGTCGTATGCAAGTAATAATGGCATTTTTCTCCACCTTTTCACCTATGTACAACAACGACTATTAGGCTATACGTCGTTTACTGCCTAACAACATTGAGCAAATATTTATCCAACATATGAGTCTAATTGATATGAACATTCCAATCCCTCAACGGAAATCCATTGTTCTTCTTACGTTGTATGGTAGGTTTTACGAATTAAACGTAGACCTCATGCAGACAAAATAGGATAATCAGTAGAATAAAAGATAAGACCGTAAGGAACTGAAATTCGAAAACAAAAATGAAATAACGTTGAGTTTTCTGAATGACAACTTAAGGAAGATGGGCAAATTGTGTATTTAGTGTATTGTTTACAAATAATGAAATTAGATCGTCATCAGGTTTTCCTCTAATATGCATGAATATTTATACGAAAATGAAAACCAATCAAGGTAATATGGGTCAATCATCACAATGAAATAGAATAAGTCTCTACACATAATAGGTAAAAGTACAAGTTGATAGTAGTAGGATGACAAGTGAACTGAGCGTACTAAGAATAATGAACTACAATAACAAAACTCTTATCAATAGTTAATCGCTGGAATTAGAAGGTCAAACAAACATGGGTAAATAGACTAGGAATAGTCAACACAAAATTTTATGATCATTACGTAATAAGATATGTGTAACTAATTAGATAGTGAAGAATACAAAGAGGCGGATAATTGCAAACCAATAATAGATGTGGAAATAGGGTTAGTCAACTTATAACTGGCCATGGAAGGGATAGGGTGGTCACGTATTTCTTCTGTACACAAAAATTTGGGTTGTATGTACGAATTCCAAAGGCTTCAGCTGTATGTAGGAGACGGGAACGGACTACGTCGGGAAATGATGGAGGTATACGATAGATAATTCGAAATGATTTCGATTTATCTACTGCATGACCGCTATCAATAAGATGTGCCAATATAGAACTGCGAATAGATTTTCTCTGGCCCTTTATGTACCAAGTTGGTAGATGTTTACTCATTCGTTGGTTAAGTTGCCTGGTAGTACGCCCTATATAGCTATCTCCACAGGAGCAGCTGATTCTGTAAATGCACATGGAAGAGGCCAACTCAGGTTACTTATCCTTCGTTTGAGTAGACATCGCTGGTCGACAAGAGAAGGTCAACGCAAGATTGGCTGCGTACAATGTCCTAGTGATTACTTTGATTAACCTATATTTCAGAGTGTCAATAGCCACATCCCCGTTGAATTGCACTATCATCTATAAAGGTTTCTTACGAACAGTCGAAATCTCCGACTTCTTTATTATATCATGCATGTACTTCTTAATGAACGCACAGGGATAGCCGAACTCGGTCAGTGAGTTGTTGATAAATTCAAGCTCCTTACATAGAGTGTCTACTGTACAGATCTTTTTTGCTCTACTAGTGAGACATGGGTTTGAAACTGCAGAAGTGAGTATATTGGCATGAAGAGGGGTTTCTTCCATACACGCTTCTACTTAATGTGCCGTCACTTCGTCTGCTTAGTGTGACGTCAAGGAAGTTCAGCTTCTTATCATGCTCGCTTTCACCAGTGAAAGTGATCGCTGGGTGAACACCGTTGAATTGGTCTAGGAGTTCCTCTTTACTAGTGCTTTGATCTACGATGATGAAGGTGTCGTCAATGTATCGGCAATATAAATCAAGTTTCTTAATAGTCTCATTGAGAGGTCCGTATTCTAGCTTTGCTAGGAAGAGGTCAGCTAAAATCGGGCCTAGAGGCGAGCCCATGTCTATCCCGTCCATTTGTCTATAGTAAGTATTGTTGAAGACAAAATGTACATTCAGAGTGCATCTTAGGAGCCGTTTCCTTAGGCTATCGTTAGGCAAGCCAATGTTGGTTTGTTTTTCTGATATTCGCTTGCATATAAACTTAATAGTCCCTATAAGTGGTACGTTGGTGAACAAAGGTCCTACATCCAATGAGATCATATTTTTCATACTAACATTAATATTTTCTACTTTGGAGGTGAAGTTGAAGACACCTTTTACACTGTTTCTAACAACTGATGACGATCTAATTGAAAACAATTGTTCGCTTATATGTGTTGTTCTAATGTTCACAATGGGAATCTTTAATATTCTAAAATGATGAAATGTTTTGCTGTAACAAATTCTTCGTTCATAACAGATGTTATATTGGTAGTTTTGATAGTAGTAGAAGCTGCAGTGGTGGTTTAATTGGTGCAAGTATTGTAGTGCGTAGTAATATCATTAGTTTTGTTATTGCTTTTAGTGATATGAGTATTAGAAGTATTAGTAATGATAGTTATATTACTGGTAACGTCAGAAGTATTATTATTAATAGTCGTAGTAGTAGTAGTGTGAGTTGCTGTAAGAGTATTAGCATTGTTACTTTTAATTACTGCACTTGTTTTAGTAGTATTGATAGCACCAATTTTATTAGTTTCAGTTCAAGTGGTGATTGTAGTAACAGTATACGTGAGACTATTGGTCTTGGTAGTTTCACGATTGTTATAAGCAGTAGCATCGTGATGTCGACAGATGTAAGTTTTATGTATCACCAATCGAAAGTGAAATGCCTGTAGCCTGAAGGTTCGAGTCATTGAATAGAAGAGAACGAGAACAGTGATTGATTTTTGGGGAGATGAAAGAACTATAAATTCTGAGACAATTGATTAACATTTTGCAAATCAGTTTGTGGATAATGTAATTATCACCTACACTAAAATGTTTTCCATACAACAATGCATAGAACTACGGAAGGATTATGAGTTCCAGACAAATATACATATCACATATTGAATCGATCTGAAATTGTGGTGAATGTTTCTTCTAAGACAGTTATGATCTAATGAATGTCTGAGTTGACTTGATAACATCATCTGGCTACAAACATTTCAGTTAAATGTTTCAATGACATCTTCCACATCCAGCTTGGGTTCAATTTGAAGTGCGCTGAAATGTTGTGATGAATATATTCAACAGTGCTGTGTCTTTATTAAAACCAACGCGTAATGGAGTTCCACTGATAATAATCTTCAGCTCTCTTTTCATGTCCGTTTTCGTTAATGATCTACAGATGGTGTCATAGTCGTTTGTTTTCGGTTGGTCTTTTTCATTTCATGATGAACTGTCCTCCGTAACAATGATCAAGTAGTATTGTTGACTCTCGAAACGCCATTCTTCTAACGCTTTCATTGAGTTTTTCCACAATCGTTGCACCACATATGTCATAAATATTTACGCTGGCTTGCTCAATAAGATTTTCGAAACTAAGACTTCCATTACACTTCCTGTTGTCTTTCATCATTCGTATTGTCATCGTTTTTGGAATCCATGTCAGTTGATCAAGTAAATTGACGAATCGATTTTTATGTGTCATCGGCACTCATTTCTGTCATTGATTTGTTCGAGTTTGGAAACACCGTCGTGCATTG